TTAGTGCGCTTTACGTAATAAATATTAACTGCTTCGAAAGACAACCTCTGTTTGTGTCTATGCCATAATTACATGGTGAAAAAGTATCTTTGTAAGAGTTGCACCACGTTTTTGTATGCAGTGTTAACACCTTGACATGTTTTCGAGTCGACTACTCTGGTAATGATTGAAATGAAACCGATCAGTACTCGATGTCTAATTGTACCAAATAATGATCACAACGGAAGGTTTTCTACCGCTTACTTTCAGCGAAGCGCAGATTTTCAGCTATACGTCACGAGAACAATTTTTGTAGAATTAGATTGCAGTATATAATTGACTTGTATGTAAGTTATGCACTGTTCGTATGCTCATTATTTCGTTTTCATAATTGTTGGCTAAGATGGAACATAATAATATGGTCCTGTTAATATACGGATATTTACTTGTTATGAATTCAGTTCTTTCTTAGTAAACAATTAATTCAGAGAGTTTTCCTTTTAAAGTAAACAATTCTTTATTATTAAATATTTTAGTGTTAGATAAATTTCACAAGTTACTTACCCGCTGACCTGCTGAAATTCTCAGAGAATTATTGGCATAGAGTCGCCCACGCCCATCATTGACCCATTTCTAATCTGCGGGTGTCGCTTTTACGGCCGCGCGAAGTCGTTTCGGGCGCTGGAGTCGGGAGCGCAGATTAATCGCCGAGGGGCGTCGCGGCAAAGGCATAAGGGCCCTCGAGAAGGTCAGCGTGGAAGGGGGAGGGCGGCCTCCTCGGCGACGGTCGTCGTCACGGAGCGGGCGGCGGACGGGCGCTGGACGCGCGCCAGCGAGGCGCCGAGGGCGAACGAAGGGCGAACGAAGGGCGAACGAAGGGCGAACGAAGGGCGAACGAAGGGCGAACGAAGGGCGAACGGAGGGCGAACGGAGGGCGAACGAAGGGCGAACGGAGGGCGAACGGAGGGCGGTTGAGCTCGAGTGGACGATAGGAAGAGGACGGTCGGTCGGTGTGTGACGTGACTGAACCACTGGGCTGAAGTTGAGTGAGATGACGATAAGGTAAGAGTGGGCTGTTGTGGGAGAGTGATAACATGATGGATTAGAGGGTGAGAAATAAACAAGCGGGGCAGGTGAGTGGCTAGGAAGAGGGACGAAGTGGGATGGAAGTGGGTTGGAGAGGAAGTACCGGTGACGAGGGGGCTCGGTTTGACTTGAGAAATATTTGCGTTGTTTTAAGCGAAACTTGACTTGACCTGACCTAACCTAACCTAACCTAACCTAACCTGATGTGACATTCTCGCCTTACCCGTTATATTATAATGATCATCTCAATACTGTTCGTGTGCGAATGTTCATTTTATCAACTCTTTCGTATTTCCCTCTATCGTTAACATTGTTTGCCGATTTTAACCATATCACTTCCGCTCCTCATTTACTAACTCATTGACATATAAACACTGTAGGGACTTCTTAATTCTGCCTTTACTTCAAGAATGGGAACTGACGTTTTCACGTATATTCAATGCTCATATGAACGTTGAATACATAGTACTATATTGTTATGTTTTCAAAAAAGCCTCGAAGTTGTAAACCGCTTCAAAATCTTTTTTTTGTATAGTTGTACGTATTGGCGTCAAAAAAATTGTATGCAATCCATTCCAAAGTCTTGCACACACCTTCGTTAGAAGGCAATGGTTCATTCGTTGGCGAGCACTTCCTGCCTACCGCCCTAGCACCGTTTACAACAACCAGCAGCTCTAACGTCAGGTTCACTTGCACGCCACCGGCCCTTCCACTTTCCGCCTAACTCATGCAACTCCTTGGTCATCACTCGCTCGAGGCAACTCGAAGCACGTGGTGTGTCTCTGGTAAAAAGAATTCGAACATGAATGTAAGGAATGTTGGTTTTATTTCTTTTTATTCTTTTCGAAAAAAAAAATCAATGAATAATGAAAGAGATATTGGCAAATTAGAACACCTAACAAAAATCCCGTGAACATATCATTTCAAAGGTATTAATGATTTCTTTGTATTTTGTTGTTGTTGTTAAGCTTCAAACCGTGCCAAAACCTGCCGCCTCCGATTTCCAGCCCCATCAACCATGTCTGTTGTCACTCTTCGCCCGCGTCGGCAACCCTACCTGTCTTCGCACCCGCCCGCACTTTCGCTCTCGCCCACGCCTCTATTCTTGCCGTCCTCTCTATCTCCATTCCGCGTAGCGATTTCCCTTTTCTCGCGCCTGCAGCTCACTGTCCTACTCTCTCTCCACCAGCGCTGCAGCGCTTCCGGAGCGGAGTCACGCGCCCGGCGAAGCGCTGCTGGGCCACCGCCGCTCACCGCCCGCCTGCATCACCGCCGCGTGGCGCCTTGCGCTGCTCTCCCCCCACCCCACCCACCCCAGCCACCCAAACGCTGCATCTCGCAGGAACGCGCCAAAGAACGTCATCTGAGAACAAAACAATAAGCACTTCATAACTTCCAGTGATTAATAATGAAATCACTCCCCGGTTTTTTACGTTTTAAATGTATCAGAGTGCTCATGGTTTTCAAACTGAAAAACAGGAAAAATAATAGAATTTCATTCATCTGGGACAGAGAAGATATGTGATACAATATTTGGAAGTGTGCGAAATTTTAAATACAATCGTTATCATTATTATTATTATTATTTTTCTTCGATAATTATAATTTTTAATTACCACGTCTGATTCAAAATATCGAGTTCTCACTTTAAAAAAGCCGTACAAAATACGAAGCACCGAAGAGACGTTTTACACTTCGAGGTAATCTTTTGTGACACGGTAATGAAAATGATTCGGTGAGTATTTCTTTACATGACATCTTTATCTTATCTTTACAGTTGTTCAAATACATTTGTTTTCATCGATACATGATGTACTCTTACGATACATCATGTATTCGATGCACATAATGTAATACATGATGTAAAGATACATCACGTATTCTTAATTTCTCAAGGTGACGTGATATATTGATTACAAACCTTAGCTAGAATTTACAAGGCAGTGACTGCAGTCGTACAGAAATACACTCATCATTAATCCTTGCAGAAAATGTAGAGAGATAAATAAGTATTAACGGAGTTTCAGGTATCACTTCCCCTCTATTTCGCTGTACGCGATGGTTGGTTTATTTTATGTATTAGTTTTACGAATAAAACATTTTCTCTGTCGGTGTTAAGAAACGAAACCGAAGTATCCGAAATCAAACTGCCACCCGTGAAAGATTAACGAACTTCTATTGCGGGCTCTGCACTTTCACGCATTAAGACATCACAAGTTTCCAACGCTTCTTTCCACTACCGAAACTAATTTGTGTATATTCTACCTATAATATTTTTCTTCATATTTTTTTCAATCGTGTTTTTTAGCTCGTTGAAACATACGTGGTAACCCTAACTCTTTCTCACGACTGCAAACGTTTCGCATTCCAGTCGCAAACAGGTGAGCATGAGCGGTCAGGGAAAGCTTTGGCAATGCTCACAACCCTGAACTTCACTGCCGTAGGTAACACATATTAGCATGCTGCGAAAGCCTGTCGCAAGACAAGTAGAATGTGAGTTCGACTTCTTATCGGGACGTTTTCATAGTGGCGCTTATGGAATTCTTAATGTCTTTGGATCTGTTCTTGATCTACATTCGACATGTTCTAAGAATAAAAACTAGCTATGTGGTCGTGACTCGCCCATTAAGACGCGTGTTACGTAATGGTCGTCACGTGCACGTGACAGCGACATTAGTTGGTCCGATAAGAAAAATAAGAAAGCGACGAAGACACAGCAGAGGGAAAGGTCACAGAGTTTCCAAGCCTTCTTTCTTTAGTATTCTCAAGATTCTGAAAACTTTATCGCTTTTTCGATCTTAAGATAAAATTTTCATCGAGAAAAGCAGTATTTGACTTGCATTTTGTAAAATGTCTGAATAAATTATTTTGTTGAGAACCTGGTACCTAGTGCAGAGCGGTACTAACTTGTTACTTCTTTCTATTCACGCTTCTTGGGTTGGGTTTCAACATCATTCTCAATTCTCGGAGAGTTAATTAACTGGAGTAACCTCAACTGAAAGTATCGAAAGTTTTTAGTTAGAATAATGGGGCATCAAACTTCGTTAAAGGAACTTACTGATTTGCTGGAAACTCTCAGACATGAATGTAATATACCAACAGAAAAGTTAGCTAACGAAATATTTTGGAAGAAAGTAAAACGTCCTAATACAATTAAAAACACGCGAAAGTGTTGGTACAACTTCTAATATAATTATCAATATACGGAGTAAAATGGATTTGAAATACATGTGACTAATGTGTGTTACGTAAGATCAACTATTAATAAAATATGTACATTAGCATCGCTATAAAAATTAATTTTCATAATTTTTTTAAATGCCATAAAAGCAGAGGAAAATATCGTAAAAATGTATAGGAAAATAACCAAAACCAGTTCAGATGAACAACTCAAGCTATTTGTTGTAATCAAGGCTTCTTCCTTTCATTCAAATGAACTTAGCTTCCAGACATTTGGTTTGTACTGCTCTTTACCAGGAAATCTCTCTTTCTAGTTTCCCCGAAATCGGCTTAACCTACAATGGATCTGATTGTCACCACAGGAACCTTAGATTACATATTCACAACGGATGACATTACAAGTTCTTAGTGAAGATATCGAATAGTTTACTCAGGACGTTTGGGAAGAAAATATTGTTGCTACTCGTAATTATTATTTGAAGCAAGTACCATTAAAAGTATATTAAAATCTATGAAATTCGAAAAAAAACGAAAAAAAAAGAAAAAAAAAACAACAAACAACAACTTCAAAAACGCCAGAAGTAAAGAAATGTCGAAATCGACGAAACATGCAAGGAAAAAAATGTCAAAATAGTTCATTTCCTTTTTTCACCACACAAAATTAATGCCTATACTAAAAAGCATTGTTCTAATGCGAAACTAAACCCATTCATTAAAATTCGCCCTCTAATTATGACGATCCGTGCGTAATTGAGATGCTTGATTTACTGCGTGGGTGATGAAACTGATCTTGACAAGATGTGAACGATGAGTGTGAACGAGAGGCTTGGAACGTGGGATAACCGTCCTTGTACACGTGGATGAGTGGGGATTCCAACCCCAGGGGCCGGCGGTGGCCGGTGGGCGGGACGCCCTTTGGGCCTGGCGTCCCGCCCGCCGTGCGCGCGGCGCGGCGAAGCGCCAGCTGGACCGATTGGGCACGGCCTCCGCTGCGGCCGCCGCCGGCCCGGTGGCGCCGCGAGCCCCGGGCGGTCGGGCGGCCGCCCGCCCTCACAGGCTGCGAAAAGGCCACGGAACCGTCTACCTGAACAACGCCGCGCCGTCCGCAGAGGAAGGTCAGTTCGGTCTGTGCGGGGGAGTTTACGGCTGACGACTTTCTCCCGTACGTTTGACTGTGAAGCTATCGTGTAAACAGACCACTAACCATACACATACAAAATCGATGCTTGGGTTGTGACCTTAGTTGATTAAGCTAATTGAAGGATACGTATCGACAATAGGGGGTTACTTTTCTTTCAGAGCCGGGGTAGAGGTTTAGGGGCGAGGTCATTTTTTGGAAATTCAGAAAAAGTAAAAAGGATTTTTAATTGCTCTGGAAATTTAGGAAAAAAATCAAGAACTTTATGGAATAATCTGTAGAAGTCAGAACAACTTTTGGAAAACAACTAGAAAACAGGAGATTATTGCTAAAAGTACATTAATTTACCGTTCCTTTTTGGAAGAATTTTTCTTTCTTAAACATATGGTAATGTTATTTGTACGACGAAATCCAAATGTTGACAAATTGGTAATAGTATCACAAGATATGCTTTTATTTTATATTTTCTTTAGGCATACTCGTGGACACACTGAAAGATACATTTTTTGCCTTCTTGCATGTATGGTAATCATCATGAATAATGTATCAAATAAGTATCATTATCTAAAGCACGTTAAATAATTGACTAATACTTGTATTGTGCCGATGTTTCATATTTTCCAGCCAAATCTCAAAATGTGTGTTGTGCCCGAGAATATTTTCAAACTGAATCCTCACCTTGCCTCTGATTGTCCAACTCTTTGGTGATGAAATCCGATTGGGATACGTTCTTTTTATTTATTTAGTTTTAGAAGGGGGTTAACTGGAACATCCTCCTGACGTTCCTGAATATTTGGTTTGACACTCATCCCGAAAGAAAGTACATAAATCCCAAGAACCGAGTCCTAAACGAAAATTTAATATCCTACACGCGCAACACCTGCGAGGTAATGTTCGTTGTTGCGCGAAGTTGAGCATCACCATATCCGACCTTCGACCGCTGAGGGGGGGGGAGAGCGCGGGTGGTGGAAGGGCGGACGTCCGTCTTGGTAATGAAGGAACTTCAGCGGAAGAGCGTTTTTCCAGCAGCCACCGCACCCTCTCTCCAACTTCCCTTTCGCGCCGCTAGGGGCGCGCCACTCACTTCCCTTCCCTTCCCCTCGCCAGCGCGGGAGCGCAGCCTCTGCCACCGGAAATATTTGATGAGTCGCGCAGCGGGGGAGTCATTGGTGGGGCAGCCGTGTTCAGACGATCATTCGCTCTCCCCGACTGTACGGTAAATCGCAGGATGAGAAGGGGGGGGGGCAATTGCATTTTCCGATAATTTTGCATTCATTTTGGGCGCAAAATCGCGCAGAAATAAACCGGAAGAGGTGACTCAGGGCATCAAATGATGTCACTAGAGTGCCTCTGACCGAGATGTCCTCCTAAATGCTTTCTAAACTAAATTCCTTACGCACATTAATATTTTGTAATTCCTTTTATAAGATTCAAGTCGGTTAATATAAACGAAAAATATGGAGAAAGAAATAGAGAAATTCGCTTTATACTGGTAGAATATTAAATGAAAACTACGGTGACTACCCTGAACTAAGCTTTGGGATGCGTAGAAGAATTTTAATTCTTATAACGTCCTATGAATTTGGTTACATTGCCTTGAAAACTAATAAATGCTTAATTTGCAAGTAAAATTCCGTTGCTATAATGTTCAACGGCAGGTGGTCATCAAAAATCCGTTCATTGGACCATTTCACAAACTTACGTCACATTCAGATGCGTAATACAGAAGAATCTTTAGTTTCAAACGTCGCGAACACAAAAAGCAGTACAAGCTCGTAGTATGCCCAAAAGTGAATGATGTTTGTGCATGCACTTTCATTCTCGAATTGATTGCTTTTCACTTATACAAATGTATTGTATTTGTATCTTTTATTTTTTAGTCATATAGTAGTTAACGTAACAAGGGCACGAAAGAAGTGATTCACACACGAGTCGAGTGCCGGAATCACCTCGCGCCCAAACCTTTTTGTGACACTACTCTTTGTATCTTAAACCGTGTGATCAATTTTGTTCAATTGGCATATTACCAAGAATTAGTAAAATATTGCAAGGTAACATTTGTTTTCTTACTTGCTGATTATTCCTTGTAACTAGTTGTTATAGACAAATCGGCATTTAGTCCTGCCTATAACAACACGAATGAAAAGATGGCGACCGCGCGAGGTACATTGATATAGACAAATCGGCATTAAACCCCGCGTATAAAGACGCGGAATGCAAAGATGGCGACCGCGCGAGCAGAGTTCGCGCCTCGGCGCCGGCGTCTTGCGCGCGCTCGTTACTTATCGATTAGCTGCCTCCTCCTGCACTCCCCGCCGCCCTCGTCCCTTGAGGACTCCTCCACGTGCTGCACCCAACCCCTCCCACACCTTCCCCGTCTGCCGTGGCACCGCTGGGACACCCTTTCTATTCCGTCCTCACACCGTCCTCTTATCCTCGTCATTGGCATTCTGCGGCTGCCGCCATTGCTACCGAAGCTTAGTTGTGAAGGATAATTGTGTTTTCTTCTAAAATTTGTTCAAAAATATCTTCGGTCGTTTCCACTTCTGGAAAAGGTCGCGATTATACCGTTGATGGGTTGCAACACTGGCACAACTCGAATTTTGAGTTGTGACCGTTATTTTATAATCATTATGATCAACAGAATTCCTATGAAGTAGCTTAGTAATGCTTAATTCATCAAAAATTAAGCCTGTAATCGCTGTATTTGAACCTCTAGCAAAACCTTGAAACGCTTTTATATGAAAACTTAATTTTTCGACTTGGGCCAGTATTGCCGATCACCGACAGAATGCTTCCCATCTTTTAGTTTCTGGTGGTTGTTTACAATATTCAATGCACTATTGTCATTACAATTGCACTTAAAATTATTGCTCGGCCTCGCGTTCTCCTCTTGCTTCTTATTTTCTTCATGATGTCCTAATCTTTCCCTTCTCTCATTACTGGCATGGGAATCATTCCGCCAAGAGCCTTGTGCACTGCTTTTATATTTTCACTAGCAACATCGTGTGTCTCCTTACGTCCGTCACGGTGCCTGCCTTGCCTATTACTTACTTCCATTTCTCTCTTTCATGATGTAAACTTCACAAGTGTATGTACCCGGCTACTGCTCTTGCACTGTTCTCATCGGCGTCGCTGTTACCGAAAGATCCCGACATCATCACCACCTCCTCCCTCACCCAACGTCTGTTCCTGACGCCTGCCGGCTGTCTTCCACGTGGCATCTCGCAGGACGTGTTTATCGGCTCATCACGGTCGCGCTGTCGCTGCCACTTTCAGCCGACTTCTCCCAAAGTCGTCTCCGTATAAACTTTCATCTACCGATATCCACGCATTCCTGCACCTTCAATCGTTCTTCTTGTTCACAGTTCTTAGCTCGTTATTTCATGCAGACATATTGTTTGAATGACTATCATCTTCACTTCTATTTCCATTATGATACCCAGTATTCCGGGAAACATTTATTGTAGCAATATCCACTGGATACCCTCAATACTTAACAGCTCTCACATTTTTATTAACCGCAATCTTTCCTTCCTTTTCAGTCTCGATTTGTTTTGCTGTTGTTTTGTCATTAGTTCTCCTTCCCATTGACATACTTTTCTGTTATTCATTCCGTTCTCCTTTATCTGACACCATCTACTCTTCCTTGGTCTGAGTTCTTCCACCGACGAACAACCGCCAGTCTACCCGCAGTTGGTTTTCATAAATATCAAGAACTCGTTCATAGTTTCCTCTTTGCTCACTCATATTTATACGCTTCTGCTTTCTTATCCTCCTCCTTCGTGTGGCTGCTGTCATAGCTACTACAGCCACTTGAATCTACCCCACCACTGTCGCCCACAATCTCTTTTGTCTCATTTCCGCAGTCATCCATACCACCTAGAGTCTAGTCTAGTCTAGATCATCAATTTTGCCTGGCGCTTCCCTCTCATTATACGGAGTTGGCACAGTTCCACCCCACCGCTGGTGCAATGTCTCTCTTCGCGATGTGTGTGCCACCGAGAATGACCTCCATTTCATCACCCACCTTCTTCTGCTACTGTCTACCTCTTCTTCCTGTCTGCTCTCCTATTATTTTACTTATTTCTCTTCTCATTGGCATGTCTCTTGTACCTTATCTGTCCCCGGTCATTTTCACTTCACCTCCACTTTTTTACCACCACCGCCACCACTTGCCATTTAGTCTAAACCAACGACCTTCACTGGTAGCCGCTGCGGTGTTTTATAAATGTCAAACGTCTCTTTTCTCTGTTTACAGTAGCAATTTCGTCTCTTTCCCCTCTACCTTACCAGTTCCCGCAATTACAGCAGCTAATCGTCACCACCACTTGTGCGCTCGACGACGTACACTATCGTCTCTTCCACCTGGTCCATAACTTGCCTAGTGCCTCCCCTCCCCCACACGTTTTGCAGCATGTCACCCCGTCGCACCTCCCGTGTTTACCTCTCGCCCTGCGCGTGCCACCAGCACACACTCGCATCTTTTGCCGGCGTCCCTCCCTCCCCACCCCCCGTCGCCGGCGCGCACCGCGCGCGGTCGAAGCGAGCGCGGGGGGGTGAAGGGGAGGGGGAGCTCCCGAGAGCGGATGCTGCGCGGCGGCGGGGGCGGCGGTGGCGGCGGCGGCGCTGCGGCGGCGCGCGCGGGCCAGTCGCTCGCCGACGGAGCCTCCGCGAGCAGCGCCGCTGTGCTCCGCTCCGCGCCGCCCACCGCTCGCCGCCTCCCGCGCCAGCGGAGCGCCCCAGCCAGCCCGCGCGCCCCGGCGCGCGCCGCCCCGCGTGCGTACTCCCCGGCTGCCACTGCGCGCGTGCGGATGTGTGTGGCTGGTGTCGATGGTGCTCGTGTGGCTGTGTGGTGTCCGCGGTTGAATGAGTGCGTAGACCTGGTTCGAAGGTGTCATGACGCGTGATTGCTGGAGTACCACAAGGGCGTGTGTTTGGGGACGAAACTGAACAGAGTGGATGGCATGGGGTTCTTGAGATGAGGAGAGTGCTGGGAGTGTGTGAGTGTGTGGGAGAATGTTTGTCCAGCGAGGGGGGGGGGCGTCGCCCGCTCGGTGCGTGATCGATCGCCGTCACCAGCTGGCGGTCGCCGGGCGCTGCCCTCTGCGATCGCGTCCTCAGCGCACGACCTCGGCCCGGATTAGTAGCTCGTTAGCTGGAGATCGCAGAAAGTGCGGTGCCGTATCGATGGACATTTATCTTCACAATCGATCTCCTTTCTCGTTCCCGAGAGAGACAAAAAAATTGCGGGTCATCATCGTCAAATTGGAACATCGTCTTGTGCAATGAAAAACAGCACCGCTGCGTTGTTATTGGTTTAGTTTCCAAAGTTTAAAAAAAATTAATGTGCTGATAAACTACAAATTATTTACATACTGTATTACTACTAAATGTATGCAGTATAGTATATATCGAAATAAAATGTAGTAATAAATGATGTTAGGTATCTTTGTGAATTGATCTAAATTGTCTACAATGGCGATTTGATTGACATGCATTAATTTCCTTTCGTTAAGAATAAGCTCTCGGTGAAATATTTCATAGAGAAAATATCATTTGGAATATGTGATATGAGAAGGAATCACAGACTGCAACAGAATCAAAACTGTGATACCATTTATTTAGAACCCCAGCATGAGAATTCAAACTCAAAATCGAAAACGTTCTTCGCGGGCGAACGAAAATAAGAGGACATAAATCATCCACTCGAGATGAAACCCGGTTTCGACGACAGGCAATCGGAGACTAATTCCTTCCGAGCAAGCCTCGAGAGGCCCGGCGTGGAGGATAGTGTTACGAAAAAGGAGGAGCTGCCGGCGCGGGCGAGGGTCCAGGGCTGGGGTCGGGGTCTGGGCGGCCGGTGCTAACACCGCCCCCGCATTGAGTGTCACGCGCACGTGCACCACCGCCCTTCCCAGGGCGCAGGGTCGGCCAAGGGCCGGGGAGACGTGGCTGATACTGTCATAACCAAGATTTACGAGTGCATTAAGGCTCGTGGGATTTAAATTGGCGCCGAATGTTTGAAAAATGTCTAAAATAAATTTTTATTTGGAAAACAATTCGGTTATCTTTTATAAATACACCGAAAATTGCAATACAGTCTCATCAACAAAGATTAATTACCTTATTTACTACTAGTATTTTCTATTTATTACACTAATGAATTATAATAGGCACCTTAAAAGTATTTTCCTTCGAAAGTTTCGCCTGATTGGAT